TGAACCATATGCTGGATCATTAAACATAGTCGTATATGCACCTCCATATGGTATAAAACCCTGCGGGCTAGGCATGTAACTTGACGGGCTAGGAATGTAACCCTGTGGGCTCAGAATGTAACCTAGCGGGCTAGGAATATAACCCTACGGGCTCGGAATGTAACCCTGCGGAGATGGCATATGAACTGGTGGGCTTGGCATATGAAGTGGAGGGCTGGGCACGTACCCCTGCGGCATCGGCGGATAAGGATGTTGTGGTGGGACTGATGCAGAACCGGTAGCGTATTCTCTTTCATCCACGCGTCGGGGGAGGATGATATTGAGACGGTTGACGTCTTTCTCGGCGCCTAGGAATGCTAACCCCTCGTGCTTCAGCCGAAAGTAGAAACGGCTTCCTATTTTCATTAAACCAGTCCATATAGTTATCCGTAACCATATGACCAGTTTCAGCGTAATATTGTCGAGGGGCCAACAGTGCATATCGGTTCTCCCAAAGCGCAATCCAATCTCTGTGTCTCACCACCCAGTTAACCTCTTTCTTTCCTCGTCTATCTATGTTATACACGTCGTCTAAATTCCTAGGTGCTCCAGGAATATATTGAGTACAACCATACTGACGGAGCACGCGATCAACTGGATGCCACTCAATAATAGCATAACATATAAGAGGTATAACCGACATCCATACCTCTAATGACCCACTAAGGTGGGGTGGGATGCAAGCCTTCACTTCATCGCTCGCATAAGGTATCCACTGAAACTGAAATATAAATATACAATTCAAATAAATAAAATATTCTAATTATATCTAGCATTTTAAATTAAAATATTAATAGTTAAACAGATTTAAAAACATACATCAGACCCAGTTTTCGTATCAATAAGTAAACAAATTTCCTCTAACCCAGTAGGTATACTTTTATGGTTCTTTCTTTTCATCGACCACCTATGAAATATAATATAAACTAAATATCACCCTATTTAATTAAAAATATTTAAATCAAAATTTAGTTCAAAAATTATCTCAATAATAATGGGAATACGTATGGTTCATTCACGATCGGGCATAAGAAAGACATGCGGAACCACACCCATGATTGCAGAAGCATGAGACATCTACCGATAGCAGTTTTCTTATAATTTGTCACCCGACACATTTCTCTAAAGAGAAATGCCAAAACAGCAGCGCCCCAACTATATCTCATCAAAATCAATCAAATGCCGCAACCACATACAATGCACCTGGTTACGTGATTTGTCGGGCATCAATATTCCTCCAATTATTCGTACAATATATGCCCGAGCACATGCCTTTGCTTGATCCTCTGAAGCATTTTCATTTAAAACCTCAAAATTAGCTTTCAACCAAGATAAAGTTATTCTACCTCCATTAAACTCTGGCGGAGCAGCTCCAAGATACTCCATGCAAATTGACTGCCAATCACCATCCGCCATACCACACATTATATTTCCGTCGACAGGAAGCCCCAGATGCATAGAGACATCCTCCAATATAATTGTAGCCTCTCCACATAGAAGGTGAAAAGTGTGTGTCTCGGGCCTCCACCTCTCAATCAGTGCAGAAATTAGGACATGTTCGAGTTTGCAACAACCAATAATTGTTGCAATATACCCGAACCCGACAGAAGCCAAATATGGCAAAATACGTTTCGGTGTCGGTATACGTGGATTTTTAATAAAAGTCTCTAAAATACGATCAGTATCCTAAATAATATGCATTATAAAAAAATTAAAATTAATATAAATTCATAATAACTTTAAATTAAAAATAAATTTAAATATTAACATTAATTATAAAAAATATTACAATATCGCTAAAATGTCTAGAGATATGGTCAATATTCAATCGCATCAGCATTTCGTCTTCCATTATAACTATAGACAAAACAATATAATTAGCACACAAAAAATAATTAATAATTCTAAATAAATAATAATTATATAAATATTATTTTAATAAAAAAATAATATTTATATAATTATTTAATATAAAATAATAACTATTTAAAAAAATACTAACATAAAAATAAATTTCTTACCACTAAAAAATTTAAACTCAAATAGTTGGAGAATTTGAGTTATATAAGAGAGGAGAATATGATTTTGGTGTGAAGAATGAGGGAGGTTGAGGGGGTTTATATAGGGGAGGAGGAGGGGTAGTTGGGGGAAAACGGATGGGGGCATTTATGGCATTTAATGGAAGGCGCGTCCCCGGTGATGCGCCTTCCCACGTGGCAGCCGAGTCATCAGAATCCCGTGAAGGTACGTCCCCGGGATTTGCCTTTCACACGTTGCATCCAACTCAGCAAAAACCCGGATAAAGCGCGTCCCCAGGGATGCGCCTTTCGCCAGCTCAGCCGAAAAGGTGACACTTCGAGAAATATATATCAAACGGTACTAAAAAAGTAAATATTTGATTAAACAGTGTCAGTTTGGTCAAATCACCTAGTATCGAAGCCTCACTTTTTATATCTTATCTTGTTACTTTAATGGATTTTTTCTCTCACATAAGTGGAATATCTGTAAGGGTAAATTACATCTAAGGTCATTTAACTATGGTTTTAATAATATATGTCATTTTTGAACAATTACAAACATGTCACTCTATCGTTAAAATTTAAACAGACATTTAATGTAACATGAAATAATAATGTTTTACCACCAAAAAATATATATTTTATAAAATTTTCCTAATTCAATAAATTGAAACATTCATATTTCAAAAATCTATCGATTTAATTTGCGATATATGGATTTCAAAAAAGAAATAATAATTTGTGATATATGACACTTAATAAATGCTAGTATTATGATAGACAATATCACATTATTAAATAATTAATTGGTTAAAAATTTAAGTTAATACACATATCAATTTTTTAACTTTATATAAAAATTTAAATACCAAATTAAAAAAATTATATAAAATTTAGGAATCAATTTGCATACTAAACCTTTCGAAAAACTAATTCAGTAAATATAGTGGTTAGTTAATCCCATGGATTTGGCGTGAATCCCAGAGGGACCACTTATCTACGTGCCAAGCAGCTATAGCGACTAGGTATCAGCTAAACATACACGTTCGGCAAGACCCAGCAATCTGCAACACGGTTAGCGTTTGTTTCGATTAGCTGGAATATTTAAATGAGGAAGAATTGAAATTCAATTCTATTAAGAGAGAAAAATTAAGTTACATTCCATAACATGATAAAATTGAAATCCTTTATAGGAGGAAATGTGAAATTTGATCATATTACCTTCATCAATTTTTTGATATTCGGGTTGGAATTTTTTAAAAAAAATTGGGTTCGGGTCGGGTCGGGATTTTTTAGGTGTGATATTCGGGTCGGGTTTTTTTAAGTGTGATATTCAGGACGGGTTCAGGTTTAGGGTGAAAAATACCCGACCCAAAAAAATATATAATTTTACCTTATATATTTAGAATAATTACAATAATACCCCTCTATATTTAATTTTTTTCAATTAAGTCACTATTTTTATTAAATAAAAATATTTTTTTATTATTTCGGGTCAGGTTTCTAATATTATATATTCGGGTCGGGTCGGGTCGGGTTTGATGAAACTTTATTTTGGTCGGGTCGGGTTTCGGGTGGAGGTTCCCTTGTTCTCGGGTCGGGTCGAGTGGACCAAAAACCAAACCCATGACCATCCCTAATTAGATGATTTTAACTTATGATGTTTATTAGTATGATTTTTATAATTTATTAAAATGAATAATCAATCAATAAAATAAAAATTTAATATTTTTTTAAATTTTTATAATATATTGTTACATGTAAGTTATAAAACAAATTAAAATTAAACAAAAAACAAGAAGGACATTTCTATCATTTTACATTACTGAAATCAAATTCATTTAACATGTTTGCGAACCAAACATAATATGGAAATGGATTCCAATTCAATTTCCTGCCAATCAAACATGTTTCAGATTCAGATTCCAATTCCTATAGATTTCAATTCCCTCAGAAACATTTCAGCGAACCAAACGCCACCTATGAGCTTTTTCACCAGTAATTTGTCATAAATTATAATTAATTAAAACATTACTTAATATAAAAATATATAATTTCCTTCATTTTATAATGTTACAATGAACTCTAATATTACTCGAATTTCATAGCTACGATTAATTTGAATGGTGGATGCGTAGTTAATGTATCAAAATGAAAATACTAAAAAGTTAGAGGATGAAAATAGAAAATATGAAATGAGTTATACAGCCACGAGTAGCCATTCTAAGATAAGCCAATGAAACGTGGCAGTGATAAGGCAAATTGGCAAAACGACAATCACGTCTAAAGAAACCGATGACGTGGCGACAGCTAATTTGATGTCACATCGATATCTTAGCTTTATTTTTAGTTCATTTTAATGATTTTTTAAATGTATATTTACCATGTATACACTATTTTCTAAACGTATTTAATGAAATGCTTATTTTGTTAACTAATACTAGTACTATTATTTAACAATGATAAATTATATATTTGGTAACTGAATTTTATTTTCTCTCTTATTTCAATCACTATTTTTTAAATCTTTTCATTTTCCTCATTAAACTTATACATTAAATTTTTTTGTTATTCAACCGTTAAATAGTTAACGATGTCGAAATGAGCTATTATATAGATGTAAATGTCGTTTTAGTGAAAATTTTATTTTTTAAAATGACATCATTTTTAATGTCATTGACTATTTAACGGTGAAGTTATCAAAATAAAAAAAAGTAATGTTCAGTGAAAAAAATCTCAATATTTAAATTCAGTGAGAAAATTAAAAAAATTTAGATTTAAATGAAAATAATAAGAGATATAAAGTTCAGTGATAAAATTTATAATTTACCATATTATTTGTTATTTGGTTTTGTTGTCCACACCAACACGTGGGGTCGTTTCCTTTAAGCGTTTTTTGTTTTGGGGGGTGGGGGTTTCTATTTCGATATTTTCATTCTTTCGTCAATTTGTTTGATTGGGTTTTTTTCAGATGAAAGAAAAAGATGAGAGCTTTTGGGGTTTGGGTCAAGAGTTTGTCTTTACACCTTGATGTTTTTAAAAATTTAATTTTTTTTTCGTGATTTTGGTTTTGTCTTTGAATGGCAAAAGCTGAGGAAATTGGCAAGAAAGAAACCCAGAGAAACATTCCCATGCATCTGGGCAATCTTCCAAGGGATCTACTTCAAAGGTTCATGTCATCAGGCTACCATTTTTCTCATACAACTGGCCAAGAACAAGAAGCAGCAGAAGAAGAAGAGATTGAGTTAAGCTTGGGACTTTCGTTGAATGGTCGGTTTGGGGTTGACCCGAGAGCTAAAAAGCTCAAGAGATCGTCTTCAATACCAGATTTCATTGACAACTCCACGAGAAGAGAGTATAATGAGCATGCTGTGTTCCCGATGGCTTGTGGTTCACTTCTGAGGACATGTTCTTTGCCTACGGAGACAGAGGAGGAGTGGAGGAAGAGGAAGGAGTTGCAGAGTTTAAGGAGAATGGAAGCTAAGAGAAAGAGATCAGAGAAACAGAAGAATTTGAGAGGTGTAAGGGATAGAAGAAGAGGGGGTTTTGGTGGAGAGAATTGTGAAGATGATAAGAGAGAAGAGGGTGGTACCATAGCGGCTTCAATTGGATCCCAAGGAAGTGGTTCCTCTGGGATATCTGAACTTGAGAGCCAACCACCTCAAGGTATCTATACTTTCATAAAAATGTTATTTCTTTTAATTTATGTGAATTATTATTGATTGATGTTATTTTTACTAGTGTTTCATGTCCTACTAGTTGCTATTTAATCTTCGTTTGTTGATGTTGGTGTGGTGGCTCAGTAGTTCTATGAACATGACATACTCAAAAGTAATCAGATTCTGTTAATCTGATCTCTGAAATTTTATCTTTAAATGCTTGATTTTCTTCTAGATGATTGATCATCTTTGATTGCCGCTATATCTGCAATATTGTTCTAGTTGAACTAAGTTTTCCCCTAAGATCCAAAAATAAACAACGGAAATTGAGGTTGTGAAATTAGATAAAATTGTAATATCTTCATGAGAGGCTAAAACAATCCTAGGGAACATTAATTCAGAAAGTGGTAGTGATCTATTACTATACTTGTACCGATCTATAGTTTTAGCAAACTAGGGTAGAAATAGCTTTAGGTATCTTACTTGGAGTCACATATTTAGATATGGGTTCGAGGATATGACCCTCCAAATACATGAGAAACCGCACAATCTGACTGACATAGGCTTTAGGCTAGAGTTTAAAGCTTGTCAATATCTTCTGGACTTACAGATATGCAACATGGCATAGATTGTTGTTGTTGTTGTTGTTTGTTTTGTTATCTTAAGCTGAATCATTTCTGGTTGAGCTCAGATATCAGTGTATGTTGCATTATGTTACAGAAACTCAGAGATGCCCCAACGCTAGAAGCCCGACTAGTGTGCAATTGGCCACCGAGACCGAGCAGAAACCAATTCTAAACCCTGGGAAAACTGTGACTCAAAAATCCGAAAAGTTAGCCGGAGTTGGGAATCAGCCTAGTGAAGCAGCAGTGGGTGAAAAGAAGATGAACATTGTGGAGGATATGCCTTGTGTGTCAACAACAGGTGATGGCCCCAATGGGAAGAAAATAGAAGGCTTTCTTTACAGATATAGAAAGGGGGAGGAGGTCAAAATTGTATGTGTTTGCCATGGCAGCTTCCTCTCCCCTGCCGAGTTCGTCAAACATGCCGGCGGCCGAGATGCAGAACATCCGTTAAGGCGTATAGTTGTTAACCCTTCTTTCATTTTCTGATGCAAATCCGTGAAAGAAGTAATGCAGAGAGAAATTAAAAAAAAAAGGTTCATGAAATTTCACCTTTATTGGTTTTAGTTTTTTTTTTTTTTTAATTCTGGACTAGGCTATTAACCTTATTAAGTGAATGAAAACTTCAGTTTGGATATCAAGATGGCTGGCATCATTTTCTTCCTGCCCCCCACCCAAAAAAAAAAGCATCACGTGGTCGGCCAACTGAATCCTTTGTGATGTGTTCATGGATGTGGTTTTACATGTTAGGATGTCATTTAAAGTTATCACATCAACAATGACATAGTTACTTGAAACCTGGTTGAAAATGGCAGTGCTGAGTATGATTGCTCCATGTCATGTCATGCACTATGACATGATACCCACATACACAGTACTTAGACTCAGGCCCGGTCATATATTATAAGGTTAGGTCAGGGAAGACAAGAAGATAAGTGGGGTTTACATTTAATTTTTTTTCAATCATTAAAATATGATTCATTGGATCATCATATTTTGAGTTTTTTAATAAAATATTATATTTAAAAATATTTTTTAATTATTGAGGTTTATTGAATTATCATATTTTTGAGTGTTTAAAATAAAAAAATATATTAAAAATATTTTTTAATTATTAAACTTAAAAATATTTTTAAAATTGGGTTCCTTGAGTTTGGAGCCTTAGGCGGTCGCATCCCTGAGCATAGGTATGCTCAGGGCCGGTCCTGCGTGGACCCAATCCTTGGTTGATTGATCGTGTAACTCGGGATTCTTAAAAATGAAACCCTCAACCTCAATTCTTTTTTATATACAAATGTGTGTTTAATGCTTAAAAAATCAATTTTAAGTCAATTATATAGACTTTTAAATTCATGAAATTATTAGATTTTGTAAAAGTAAATGGTAGAAAAGTAAGTAGAGAGAGGAACAAAAATAAAGTAATTTTAAAATAAAAGCAGTTTAAAGAAATAATATTAAGTTAATATATGGCTTGTGTGTTAATATTTCATATGTTGATAGCATTTATTCAGCAGATTCAATCATCATTCATTTGCCTACCTACTAACTCGTAATCCTTTTTTTATATATGAAGGTAAGGTGATTACTAACTCGTAATCCTTTTTTTATATGAAGGTAAGGTGATTACTAACTCATAATCTTCTCCTAGAAAACACTCAACTGATCTTATATTATATCCCAATCTCCCAACCTTCAAGCATGTCATCCTCTCCTAATTGTGGATTCAAGGCCATAAACAAAGCAAAGGAAGAACTAGATAATAAAATCTGACATAAGAAACAAGCAAAGAATCTAAAGACTCCGCCCTTTGTTAAGACCAAAAAGATGCATCTATCTATGAACTGGTTGATTAATTATTATTTTATATTTTAGTAAAAAAAATTAATTATTGTTAACTAACACCATTTGGAATCTTGTGCCTCTCACTCATTTTTCAAAAATATATGTAATAATTTAAATTAACCCAACCCGTCAACTAACAAACTTTCGGTAAATCAACCCTAACACTGCAATGCAACTTGGGGGAATTACAAAAGGCCTTAAATGTGTTCGCTTTTTTCATGGCAAAATATAGAGTAGCAACTAGCAAGTAATGTTAAAAAATGGAGCTAAAATCCAAAAATACATGTACGAATGCAACTCAGCTGCCTTTGTCAATGATTCTCGGCAACGGCATTTGCTTATTACATGATAACAGTTGAATAAAAATGGTGGTATGAATCCTTGGGGTAATTTTGGTTTGTCACAAAATAATCTAATAAAGGTTCCAGTAGGTCCTGCGTCTGAATTGAACCAGTTGTGGTCCGGCAAACCTTGGATAGGACCCATTGCAGCAATTGCAATATCCTGCCAAAACCAAACACACTCCAAATTAAAACAAACTTCAAAGTCTAACCCCAAGTTCAATGTCTCATCCTACTGAAACTAAGGCATCTCGACATCGTATCAGCTTCAACTCATTTATGTAAAAGCAGCAAGGATGGAGTAGTGATGGCTAGGTTAGGTTTTGGTTCTTACCCTGTCATAGATAAATCGGTTTGCAACACGATAGTTCTTGGATCTACAGCATCAATCCTAGCAAATAATTCAGCAAATGGAATTCTCCGACCATATGCAAGTATCTGCAAGGACGGGGGATCAAACACAAAGAAAGATTAGAAATGAGGAAAAGAAAATTTCTTGCGAAAACAGCTCAGAACAGCTACTTTCTGGCATATATGTTGCATAACACCGTCAGAATAACAGAAGTCCACTATTTAAGATCATAAAATTCTGTAAGAGGAAAATAAAAAATAATCTTTGCTTCTACTCATCAAGACTTCCCCTTGAATCATTAAAAACTTCATTTCCTTAGAAACAGCTGATTCCAAAGATATGATTACTCCCATGCACTACCCGGCTTAAAGAGTAGATACTAAAAACCAGAGTAACACCAGCAAATCCGCTCCAGTATAGTATATTAGTTCAGGTAGTTGTTAAAAACTCTTCAAAGCAGAAAAAAATATACCTGGCGCCCAATATCTTCAGCTACAGGACTAGTTCCATCTATATGAAGCATCAAGGTTGACTTCAACTGAAGGGAGCAAAAGGAAGCAGTCAAGCAAAGGGAATATATTTTCGCAAGTTATTTACAGGAAACGTGATGCATTCACTATTCATGGGCACAACCTTGGTACCATGCACAGATTTATGTGATGTTAATGTGCAAGAATGAGTTCAAGAAAAATATACATAACAAATACTAAGGTCTTTTAACGAAATCTACACTTGTATGTAGGGGTGTAAATGAGACACTAGTATTCAAAGGCTATTTGAGTTCGACTAAAACAAATCGAATTTGATTTGGAAATAATGGAGCCGAATTTGAGCACCATAATACCCGCCTTGAGTGGCTCACAATCCTAATCGAGCTTTTCCTGAACACATATTTTAAATTATTAAATTACATAAATACCCTTATTTTATATGCAAAAGACATTTAAATTGAATCGACTGATTGAGTTTCAAGTAAAAAAAATAGGTAATCAAACTTAATAGAGGTCAAGTAGCTCAATTATATCTCAATCCGAGCCCAAGCTTATAGTTTGATGCTTGGTCGAGCTCGACCTGAGTATCGAGCTTGAGCTTGCCACTATTCGGACGCCGCTTGGCTTGATTACACCCCCTACTTGTAGGTGCATTATATACACATTTTTAATGTAGAATGTAAAATCACCTACTGGCTACTACTTTTGTATTATTGCCATACTGCTTGAAGTTATTAAAAAAGCACAAAACATAAAATACAAAATATCTATCATCCATTAAAAAGAGGCAGCATTTTTCGCTTCCTGATTACAAGCACGAATGACATCACCATCTGAAACACGATGAGCTAGCTTGGTTATCACATACATGATAGCATATGCCAAATCATCCAAACAATCAGGCTGAAAACAGAACGTAAATCTTAATATTCATTCATAACAAAAGGTAGAATAAAATGAAAAGAAAAGGGAATACAAAATACAACAGCATATAGCCAATAAGGGTTCATTCATGCAAATCAAAATGTTAAAACTAATTTAAGGTTGGGTAGGAGGGAAACAGATATAATGTTTAGGTAACTACACGAGAACTATAAATATCTAAGATGATATCAAAGAATATGAAAAATTAACTTAAAATTCTTAATCATAATGGTAGTAGTCGAAATATATACATACACATGTTTAAACGTATTATACAAAAAATTATACGTACAGGCAGGGAATCTCACCTTGGAAACAGCATAGACACCGAAAAGACCAGTATCTTTATAGTTAGTGTTGAACGCCATCATGCTTTCTGCGGTTTCATTAATGGCAACATTTTGTGCCAGATCAGAGCTGTTTGGAGGAATAATGGAACAAATCAAAACATTGTTGCAACAGGGGGGTCTCATCATGAAACAACTAAGCCAGTTTAAAATGTGATTCGATTAAGGAGGAAAACTCACCCCATGTACTTTCCACCCCCAACATTTGCTCCATCAACCCAACTTGCCTGCGTAACCATTAGTGCGATGGAGTCTGGATCTGTCCAAGATGCACCCTCAAAGGCAACTGAAAATTGTGCTAGAGGAACATCATCATTGATTATTCTCACCTGATTTTGTCAAAATTAAACAATAAAACCGCAGAAGGCATAATAAATTGAATGTCATTACTGAATAAAAAGGTTTAAATGTTAGTAATGGCACCAACCTCAGAACTAGTAAAACCAGCTGGTTCGTTCACAACTAGCTGAGAAGCAGTGGTTGGATCAGATGATAACTTGGTAAACAACTTCTTTACCTGCTCAACAACTTCCTCATGCTTAACAGCTCCAGAAGCTAACACACATTTATAAGTTACCAAATAACAGACATTTATAAGAACCTAACAACACCTCTTGCACTAAGTACCTTCCTTACATGATATGGTAAGAAATAATTGGAATAACTCGTTAGTTTTAAGGAGTTGATCGTATATTATTAAATGGATACCACAATAAATTCATTAGTTTTGAGGATCTACATACCGTTCACGGAGCAGTGTAGTGTGTCTGAATATATTTCTCCAGATCCACTTTGGTTATCGTCCTAATATTATCAGCAGGTCCCAAAATAGTTCTACCAAGAGGAGTGTATTGGAAAGCAGTTGAATGCAAATGGTCAAAAATAATTTCTTCTGTTTGACCCTCAACCTGCAAAAATCCCCAAGATTATAGCCTTCCTAGGAATGATCAACATATAACTAAAACAGAGAGACGAACAAGTGAACTTGTTAGTGCCATCCACTTTTAATTTAATGAAAATAAACAATGTGATCTAGACTTCAAATATCACTACTCGGAAGAAAAAAGCAACAGCAATTTTATTTATGACCAACTTCTCAACACAAACCTTCAAATAGTGGCCGAATAGCGGTGTCGCGGCCGTTATATCGCGGTCACGGTGGTGTCCGAAACCGCTATCGCAGAAAAAACGGTGTGAAGCGGGATCACACCAATGCGGGG